TAGGGAATTGGGGCTCAGGGTTGAAGCACAGGCTTCCCTCGGGCGGCTCCCTGTCAGTGGTTCATGCCTGTTCTGGCACCGCGGACCATGCTGCGCCCCGGAAGTGGCCAGCAGCAGGTCCGGCTCCTAGGTGGAGGTACGCAAGCAGCTCCACACGGCTCTCTCCTGCAGGCACCACCCCCCCAGCTCCCATTGGCCGGGATCTTTATGCAATATTGTAATATGAGTGGTACTATGCAGGTAAATCATTTCTGAAACAGCTTTATTTCATATTTGCCAGGTGATGCAGGAAAACTGTAGGAGCATCCCGAGGATGGAGGCATCCCCACCTGAGTCGAAACTCAGATATAAAATTACTTCCCATTCTTGTCCATCTAAACTGCACATTCCTGAATCCAGCACAAGTCATCTCACTGATGGAGGTTCCCAGATTGCTTTGCAACGAGATTCTTCAATAAGCAGGTTAATTGTATAGTCACTGATCCAGCAAGGAACTTGAACCTAGTTATTAAAGCTAATTTTGAGTGGACCTATTCAGTGGGGGAAAGTCTGACATTTCCATCAGCGAAAGGTGGCCCCAGCAGATTTGTTCCAGAGAAAATAAAATATTTACCGTTACAAAACTCTCCACTGGTTGACCACTCTGAGTTTGAAAGGCAAAGTGTGTCTCACTTACCAGGGTTTTTAACAGAGCCATCATCGCAACTGTATATCACTTCTCTGCCATTAGTATCAGGGGGGACGTCACGACGGCGCCTTCCATGGGTCCCACAATCTATCAGAAAAACGTAAGAACACACTCATGTTAATAGGAGAGAGATTTATTTTAAATAATTTCACACAGCTGCCTTTGTTGTAAAGGATCCTAACGTGCCTTAGATGCTACAGGGACCTGCCACAGGCCAGGTGAGCCCCATTGTGGGGGGTTCCTCAGGTTTTCCAGTAGCCTCTGAGAACAGACAAGCTTCCCACAGCCAGGGCTTTAAACTAAACGCGTCTTCACTGCTGTGCTAGGTCAAGTTATCTAAACAGGAATTAGCCGAGCGACAGCGACTGCGCTGCACAGTAACGGTGGAGGTGCAGAGAGTGGTTGGATTAGCAGCACAGAGTAGCTGAGTCCCCACTGCATGATGAGCTCCAGCCTAAGCAACTCTCCAGCTCCCACCCACATTCCAAGTGGGCCAGATTTTGAACCCAAAATTCTAGACTTTTAGCAAATCCAAGTTCTTCCAATTTACATGAGGAAGCACCAGCTACTTCTGCTCCTTCGGGAGGGACAGTTGTGGTTTGTCCTGGGTAATTATGACTAAGGCAAAAAGAAGAGGAAAAAGCAGCTATGAACATTACATCAGTCTCCCATCACCAGCTGGCCATTCAGAGCCAGGAGCTTGCCAAACTAATGGTTAGGAATCTGCATCTTTAGAGAGAAGACAGACTTATCCCACTTACACATTGTCACTGCTAGAGCAGTATCTAATATTTCGCTCTGTGGGGTATACCTTCAAGTCTGCACAAAGCAGAAGATCCACACGCATTAGGTGCATTACCCCTATCGTCATTCCAAGAGCTAATTCTCTCAGCTGTAAATTATCTACTCCTGAATTCTCCTCCTTGGGATAACTGTATGGATATTAATAATAATAAGCAAATTATAATAAGACAATAATATTCCTTACCCACAGTATTGGCCACGTCACTCTCCTATTGAGAGGAATCAGAGGAAAGGGCCAAGGTCAGAGCACTGTGGGAATCCTTTGGAAAGTGGAAGGGGGAGAAGGACCCACCAAAAGGCTTTGATAACCAAAAGAAATGGTGCAGGAACAATGAGAGAGGCAGGAAAACCAGGAGAGCATGGAGTGTGCAAATGAACAACGAGCTCTCTATCAAGTTTTTAGGCAAGCACTAAGGGAGCATCATCATATTTGTATCTGTGAATAGCAGAATTATAGAAATTAAATGACTTTCACACTGTACATTTCATTTTTATTCAAGTGGAAATTTGAACCCAGAACTCTAGACTTTTAGCAAATCCGAGTTCTTCCAATTTACCTGAGGAAGTACCAGCTACTTCTGTTCCTTCGGGAGGGACAGTCGTGGGTTTGTCCTGGGTAATTATGACTAAGGCAAAAAGAAGAGGAAAAAGCAGTTATGAACATTACATCAGTCTCCCATCACCAGCTGGCCACTCAGACCCAGGAGCTAGCCAAACTAATGTTCAGGAATCTGCATCTTTAGAGACAAGACAGACTTATCCCACTTACACATTGTCACAGCGAGAGCCCATGTACTATCAGTTGGGCTACCCTGCAGACTGCTGCTGGGATCCCATTCCTATATTCCAGAGGAAGCCCATAGCAACCCCTACATTGAGCTGCCTAACACTTCCCTTTACAAAAGTTCTCTCTCTCTCTCTTTAAGAGCTCTAACAGTTCCGGGGTTTGCAGCAAGGATGTGAAAGGCTCATCAAAACTTCCTAGGGGGACTTCTAAGACCCCTGAACATGCTGTTCTCAATGATCATTCTCTGCAAGGTGTTGCCATGTGCAACTCAGAACTGTGCATCTCCATCCCTCACATCATCATATCCTTTGGCCTAGGAGAAGGTGCACAGTGTTGGGAACCA